TGCTTTGATTGAAGCTTTGTATCTGGTGTCAGGGTCCAACATCATTCTTTTGCCTATGGATATTCAATTTCCCGACAACCTTTACTAAAAAGCCTGTCCTTCCTTTGTTGAATGGCTTAGACACTTAACAAAATAAATTGACTGTATATGCAAAGGCTTATTTCTGGATGCTGCAAGGGTTAGCTTTGGATATGAGGATCAGGTGAAACTGGCAGCAGGTGTGGTAGTGACCCTGTGGCATGTGTGCTCCAGCCAGCTGTTTGTTATCACTGAAAGCTCTAAAAGGTTTGCCATGACTGACCAAGTGAATGGTAGGTGGGGTGAGCTTTGAAGCAATCTGTGGCCTACTGGGAAGAACCTTGCTTATCTTTCCAATGTAGCCCAGGTTCCATCTCAGTTGTGTAGTTGGCTGGTTGCGGTGACAGTGGTGAGTCCTGCAGGACACTTGAAAGCCCTAAATGCTGTGGCAGGAGAGGATGTGCATGAAAGGGCACATTATTCAAAGTGACCGTGGGTGCTCCAGAGCAGGTGGCACAGCAGCTAAACCTTGAGGACTCATTTCACATACTTTGTTTGCCTTTTTCTGAGTAACACTTAATTAGGTTTCTTTTTGGGAGGTGGGGGGAAAGGGTCTCAAAAAAAATACTAATTGATATGATGTGGTTGGCTAAACTTTCGTGGTCAAATGCTGGTAGTGTGATAGGTAGCCTGATTTAAGTAGGAAGTGTTTCCCTCATGTCAAGACAAATGGGCATCCATCCTGAACTGTAGCATCTACAGAGCAGGGTCAAGCCACATTCACTTCACCCTTCTCAGTTTCAAGCAATTTCTAGCACATGGTAGATGCTTATTAAATGTTTACTGACCTGAATGGAACACAAACAAGAGAAACAGAAATGACTCTCTGAAATAGGAAAACAACTTTTCACATTTAGGAAGTTGTTTTTTTTTTTTTAACATAAGATTTACATTTATTTTACATAAGATTATGGATCTGAAGTGTCTACAACAACAAATACATCTCAGAAGTCACAGATATATGTACGGATAATCTTAAGAACTAAGAGCAATTTATTTACAAAGCTTTTTACTTGGCCGGCAGTTGAGAGTCAAGAAACAAGGCA